AAAATGACTCAAATTAAATAACAAAAATAAATAATAATAGTTGGGAAAGCTTGTCAAAATTTGGTGCGACTAACATCTTTTCGACCTCTGTATGTATGTTAATATTATATGTACATTTTTTATTCTTTATTTGTTAACTAATAGAATACATATGTAGATGAATTACATTAAAAAAAATAAGCAGAAAGAGCAGTAGTATATCAAAATACATAATTTTTATTTTTTTTTGTAAATAAGGACATATCTATGGGTTGGGAGTTTTACGAAATTTCGGGAAAAATCGGAAAATTTCATTATCGAAATCGGGGAATTCTCAAAAATGAGTTCGCTACCCTGGTGTAAACTACTTTAATGCTTTGCCGTACGCATATATGTGAAATCAAATTTCATGAGTACGTAGTACTCATGCCTTTTTTTCTACGTAATTCTTATTTCCTGAGCCTATATAATTTAGGGAGAACATACATTTTAATTATGGGACAACATGTTGAATAGCTTACATTGTTGCTTGCAAAATGAGCCCTCTCTCGAACTCTCTCTAAGTAAAAAAAACCCTACCTGAAATATAATTAGTAAAAACACTTTTACGTTACAAATAGTTGTCCATCGAAAACATATGGATAATGAAGAGTATAAGAAACTATTTTTTTTTATTCTGAAAGAAGACCGAAAATGCTCGAAGAAAACTAGATTTTCCCATTTTTTAGCCTGGTGGATTCCGCGCCAGAAATCTTTTTGATATTTTGGACTGTTACATTACATTAAAAAATACCGCCGACTTTGTTTTCATATAGAAAGCTTATCATTGATTTTTTTGTCGAATAATTTTTTTTGTAACTTCAAAGTAATATAAGGCAAGCGAAGAGAGGCAAGTATAATGCAAAAAAATTGTGGTCCTAAAATATAAACTATCCTTTAGTTCCATGTTGAGCCTCTGAACCTCTATCACGTTTTTCGTGTTTTTTGGTACATAAAGCTCTAAAAGCCATAAGTAAAGATGCTAGGATCACAGAGCTGAGAGATGGAAATCTCTTGCTACTTACAAAAAACAAAAAAATTACTGAAAAGTTCATCAACGTAAAAAACCTACCAGGAATCTGTCAAATCGAAGCAAAATACCATGAGCAGCTCAATTGTGTCAAAGTTACAATTTTCGCCCCGTTCCTCAATCACGTCCCTTACCAAGAAATTG